GAAATCATTATTGATAATTTGTTATTTATCGATACCATGATTTGCAATTTTCAACAAAAATGTTTCGATGTATATTCGTTGAATGTAATTTATTTATTGAATTTTCTTTGTTACCGTTTTTCCATTGTTTTTATTTGATATTTTAATCAATTGTTGTTTAATAATAATAATCTTTATTGAGTGTGCTAATTGTTGTTTAATCGAATTCTTTTTTCCAAAATCAATTTAAAAAATTCAAAAAAGGAAATTATTCGTTTTCTCCATTTGACTGCCATCTATTGATCGTTAAGGGAAAAATAGTTGACAAATAAAATATTTCAAATGAAAGATTTTCGATCCAAACACAACACATATATTTTCATTTACGGACGAAAAAAAAACATCATTTTAAATCTATTAACACTTTTACTGTTTGCTTTGTCTTTATTTAAATTTCATATCATCATAAATAATAAACAAAAAATGTATAAAAAAAATATTTGTTTGATTTGTTTTCTTTTTCATTCAAAATAGACGACAACAGGTTAAATGGATTAATAAAGAAAAACAGAACAATAACAAAATAACACCGATACAAATTACAGCAAATACGACATTATTAGCCTTGAGCCATCTACGGAATGGTCCATTAAACCAATATTTTATATCATCAAATATATTACCCCCCATAGTATATATGCCACCACCTAGTTTGCCATGTTCATAATCAAAACCAAGATTCTTAAAATATGAACCAGATGAAATATTTGTACCATCATCTTGTTTTATCATAGCATTTGATTCGGTTTGTTCGATTGTTGTTGTTGGATTATATATTTCTTTAGTTTGTCGTTCGGATTCATTGTTTACAGAAGAATTATTCTGTATGAATGTACCATTTTCATGTTTATCGGCCATAATTAATAGGATTCCTTTTGAAAAAAGAAACAAAGAAATTATTGTCAATTCAAAATCATTTTTAAATAATTTTCATACCAAATGGATTGTTGCCATCGAATATTATGGTCATCATAATCATCATTGAAATCATTATTGATAATTTGTTATTTATCGATACCATGATTTGCAATTTTCAACACAAATGTTACAATGTTTATTCGTTGAATGGAATTTATTTATTGAATTTTCTTTGTTACCGTTTTTCCATTGTATTTATTTGATATTTTAATCGATTGTTGTTTATTCGAATTCTCTTTTCCAAAATACAAATTAAATTAAAAAATTCGAAAAAAGAAATTATTGGTTTTCTCCATTTGACTGCTATCTATTGATCGTTAAAGGAAAAATAGTTGACAAAAAAACATATTTCGTAATTTACCACGGTTAGATCACGATGACAACAGGACTACCGGAGAAAAAAAACAAAGATTCATCTCGGATATAAGCTGAACAACAAAAAAAAAATCATAATTTTTTTTTTGATGGTGAAAAAAAAACATCTTTTTATTTCAATGATTTTTTGTTGTTGTTTGTAATTTTGACAATTTTTAAAATGTTTCTGCTTCTTCGAATGATGATGATGATGATGATGGTCACACATTGGTTAATCAAATGAGAGATGGATACAAAGATTCTTTTCTTTCACTAATTTTGTTTGAATTTTGCAGCATTAAAATACACTCGACGAACATTACAATAGTAAATCAAAAAAGGAGAGATAGGGGACATTGAGACAGAGATTTTTGACAGGTATTTTTGTAATTTGTGTTTGGTTGATTGATTGATTGATTGATGGATTGCAGTGATCATAATTAATCAATGATGATGATGATGTAATAATTTACCTGGATATTTTATTGTAAACAATAAGCTAAACACCTTTACAGAGTAATTTTTTTCAATTTTATTTTTATTCATCATTTATATTTTCATCATTATTTTCACTGTGTTTTAAATTGACCAAAAAAAAAAGAAAGAAAGAAAAAATTTCATTTTCGGCTGTCATGTTTGTGTCGTGTGTGTATGTGTTTGGAATCGAATCGGTTTGGTTGGTTTGTTTTTGTTTCACTGTTCAACAAGAATTTTTTGGATAGAATTTTTAAAACTGAATGTTTGCCTGACCTATGTTTATTTCTTTCTCTGGGTGTTTTTTTTTGTTGTAAACTTTGTCCATGTCGATGTTAATCCAACAACAAAACAAAAAAAAAACATTTGAAAATTATCAATCAAACATCAATTCATCAATTATTATTAATTTTATATTATCATCATCATCGGTAAAATAAAATGGATGTAAATTGATGGATGTATGTGTGTGTGGCTGGTTATTGAAATTTTTTTGCATCAATTTTTTTGTTTGTTTTGTATAAGTTTGTATGTGTGTGTGGGAGTATAATTTGTATCATTGATTGGTTGTGTTGTGGGTGGTAGTAGGTGGTGGTGGTGGTGGTAAATAAGATGGTGTTATGGTTGTGGTATATTTGGTGTAATGTTTTTTTTTTTGCATTATTATTATTATTATTGAATATATTTTTCTTCTTGGTGAAAATTTTTCCAATTCATTCAAGTTTTTTCTGAAAGAGAAAGATAAAGATAAAGATAAAGAGAAAAAAAAACACTGCTGTTTGGGAGGGCAAAAAAAAAAATTGCCAACTGATGAATTTAAAACAAGCAAAATTTGTTATGTATGTTTTATAATATATGTTTTTTTGTATTGGTATGTAATGTAATATATAGGTATTTTCTGTTGTTGTTATTTATTAAATGTATGGTGGTGTGTATGTGTAACGAGACAAAACGAGAGACAAAAAGAAATTAATAGAGAAGGATAAAGAATATTTATGTGTGTGAAGGGGGATGGTGGTGGTAGTAAGGAGGAGATCCGGTTATGATCAATTATCGCCAGCATCTGGCTGCTCATCACCATCACCTTGTGTATCGGATGTCCAAAGCTATTATTTTTACAATAACAAAAAAAAAATAATAATGATTAATCAATCAATCAATCGATTTTTTCTTGTCTACTTACAGTTAAGTTGTCACGAAGAAGCTGCATAATTAGAGTGCTGTCTTTGTATGAATCTTCATTGAGTGTATCCAACTCGGCTATGGCATCATCAAAGGCCTATATATTATATTGGTACAATCATATAGAATAATAATTAATAAATCAATTCAAAACGAAAAAAAAACTAATTACAATCAAAACGAAAAAGGAAATTAAGAAAAAAAAGGATCAAGGAAATTCAAGGAAGAAAAAATAGGAATCAAAATGAAACACAATCAGTTTCAATATTCATCATTCATAGTTGAATTGAAAAAACAAACACAAACGCGAAATTTGTTAGATTGAAGATTCTGGCAGTTGGTGATGGTGGCAGTGGTGGTGGTGATTGTTATTTTATCTTGAGGGAATTTGATCTGGCGATTTTTTTTTCACAAGGATTCTTTGCATTGATGAGAATCCAATTTTTCAAATAAAATGAATGATGACACAAGCCAACACATAATTAGTGAGCACGTGTCTTATTTATGTTCTCATTTCTATATGTTAATGTTTTCACAAGGTTTGGTTATATTCAATTCATCATTATTATTTTGTTTTTGGAGCACACAGCATTATTTTTGAATCAATCAATTTTAAACAAAAAAAATGGAATGGAATCGATGCATTTGCAAACAAACAAGGAATTATTATATAAATATATGTCAATCAAATAACATGCTCAATTACCTTCACCTCCTAACTAACTAACAAACAGATTGAAATTACTTAATGAATATAAATAAAAACTAATTAATTAAAAGGGGAAAAATAAATCCTTTTTGAATATTTTTGTTTTGTTTCATTAGTCTATTTTCTCAAGGATCTTTTTTTTCTCTCTTCATTTACTGACTATATACTTTACTATAGGAATTATATTTTTCTTAGAAATCTAATAATAATAATGATGATATTATTGTCCTAGTTATTTTATAGTTTTGTCTCTATTTTTTTCTTCATATGTGTTCGTGTTTGTTTGTTTGTGTGATTTACCTGTTTGGCAAGATGACAGGCGCGATCAGCAGCATTCAATATTTCATAATAAAAAACTGAATAATTCAATGCCAAACCAAGACGAATAGGGTGTGTTGGTTGTAATTTAGATCTTGAAATGTCAAATGCTTCTTGATATGATTTTTGGGCTTCTTCAGCAACATCTTTTTATTTTTATTTTTCAAAAATAAAAAGATGTCATTTATAATCGATGATAATCATCATCATCATTATAGATCAAATCAATTTTTTTTGGAGACAAAAATAACCATCACCACACCAAAACCAAACCGCCAAAATAATAATAAGTTTTGTTTTTCAAACAAACACGTGTTATCACAAAAAAAATCAATCGAAAAAAAAGGAAAGGAGTAAAAAAAATGAAAAGAAAAAGAAAAAAAAGAGGGGGGTTAATAGAATCAAATTCCAAAAATTATAATCACCTGCTTAGCAAGTTGACAAGCTTTATCGGGCGAATTGAGAATCTCATAGAAAAACACCGAAAAATTGAGTGCAAGACCAAGGCGAATCGGGTGCGTAGGTTGCATCTTGCTTTTAGAGATGTCGAATGCCTCTTGATAGGCTTTTTGCGATTCTTCAACAACACCTACAAATTTTTTATATTCATTTATATTCACGATTAATATTCATATTACAAAACATAAGGAAAAAAATAAGAACAAAATTTCACCCTATTCCGGTTCTTTCTAAATTCTAAATTCTGGAATATGAATTACAGATAATGATTGATGTTTCTGATTTTTTATAAAATAACGTCATATAAAATGCGCACTAATTATAAATGATTATAATTTGCATATCATGATTATGGCTAATCTTTGCTAATTTTTCTGTCGTCACAAACAAAATGTCACAAATCATTATTATCGCCAGGTTTTTATATCACTTTTGTTTGCTGATTTGAAAAAAATAATGATAATCCAGATTAATTTAAATGACTTACTCGTCCTTCGGTCACCAGTAGCCACTTCAGCCAAATATCGATAATAGTCACCCTTCATTTTCAAGTAAAAAACTTTACTTTCAGCATTGCTTGCTTTAGGAATCAGGTATTTGTCGAGAAGTGACTATAATTTTCAAACAAAAACAAAAAAATTAGAATTTCAAAAAATCAATCAATCGATTTATTCACTTACCAATACATCATAACAAATATCACGAAGTTCAACTTCGACCTTTTCACGATATTCACGTGCCATTTGTTGTTTACGTTCAGCTCCTTCAGTTTTTTGTTCAATCGATGAGATTACTCTCCATGATGAACGTCTTGCTCCAACAACATTTTTGTATGCTACTGATAAAAGATTACGTTCTTCATTCGATAATTCGGTGCCGGTTTCGGTGACTTGTTTCATGGCAGCAGCCATATCATCATATCTTTCAGCCTGTTCGGCAAGCTTGGCGCGTTGTACAAGTTCTTCACGTTCCATTTTTTTTTATTGGATAGTTTTTTGATGAAAAAAAAATTTAATTTATAATATAAAACAATGACTTTATTTTTGGTGAAAGATGATTGTATTTGTAAGAAGATGAAGACGACGACAATAAACCGACGACTATTATTATATATATCAGATTTCAGGGAATTATATTTTTATAATTTGTTGACACAAACGAAACAATATGATGAATGAACAAATTTTAACAAATCAATGTTTGTGGATAAAATTTTTTGTAATTTCTATATTTAAAAAGAAAAATTAGAAAAAAATAGAAAGATTAATTGATGATGAAATACGAGGTCGATCAAAGGTGAAACCAGGAAAAAACAAATGAAAAAAAATTGTCAATGACATCAATATTTGGAGGAAAAAAAACATTCGAATGAAGGGGTGGAATTTGAAAACACTGAAATATCACTGAAATCACACAAAACAAAAACAAAAAAAATTCTTTTTACTTGACCCAAACAAACAAACAAACAAAAAACAAGGGAAAAGAAGAATACTGGTAAAATAAACAAACAAAATATATTTGGACCTTAAATGGAGAAAAATTATTTATTATGATAATTCAGGAAAAAAAAATCAGACCAGAAAATAAAATTAACTTTTTTTTTCAATACAAAAAAAAATTGATTATCATCCCAAAAGTGGTGAATATACAGCAAAAAAAAAAAAAAAAAAAAAGCAGAGCAGCAGAAAAATTTCACTTTTTTTTTCTGGGGGCGGGTTTTTTCTTTTTTTTTTCACATAGAAA